GCTTCACTGCAACAGATTCCAGCTATTATTTTCTCTCCACTTACAAATGAGAAATTGTTTAGGAATTTAAAACCAAATTCATAAAAATAGCTGGTATTCCAGAGCAGTCATATCAATCTCCTCTGTCACATGAAGGCGCCTTAAGGACAGAATATGATAAATATCCAGACTGATGCTAACCATTGTTTCTAGTGTTTAGTAGTGTTGCACCCATACCGATACCGGTATGAGGCCCCCGATCCAGCACTAAAATGGTGGTATCCGTATCAGCGAGTACCAACAAATAGGGCAGTGATACCATTTTGAGAGCCAGAAGTTTATTCAACTATTGTCACCCATTCCAGATAGGCAATAAAAAGTTATACTGGATTCACTTTGTATTAGTTTTTTTCCTGCTTCACAAAGGTAGGCAGCAGCTTGACAAAGCCATGATGGCAATTATTTTACAGCCAAGTAGTATGCAGTTCTTCATATATACACACACACAACAATTTCTAACAGATGGTATCAGTATCAGGCGATACTGCACAGCCAGGTATCAGTATCGGGGCCAAAAAATTGCATCTCTATTACAATAGAGAATAGAATAGAAAATCCCTTTATTTTCGCACATTGGGGAAATTGTGATGTTAAAAATTAAATAGAGTATTGTACTGTACAGTGTTTTTACAATAGCTAACACCTGTGGAGTTTTTAACAGTAATGGGTATGTGAAAAATAGCAGCAACATTCTATTCTAGTCTATTCTTAAAACAAAAAACAACAACAACAAACAAATAGTTTATTATCTATAATTATTCCAAAAGAGTGAAGAAAGTCCCTTTAAAAAATACTTTATTTAGTGGCAGTCACCCAGTCGGAAGGGGGTTAAAGTCAACCCGTCACCATTATAACCCTGACTCCGTAAGCCCGGTAGACGGCTTTGTTTATGAAATCATAAACCTGCACTTCAACTTTTGTGTGTAATGATTAAAGATGGTCTATGCAATAAGCTAGCTTAGGGAGTTAAAGGTAAAAACACAGAGAAACAGGGTATAATAAGGTGCATTTGGCACAAGCTATTTCTTGCCACATATTAGACAATGTGCTCAAAGATGCACCAAGACAGAACAGATATCTTAATCCCAAAGTGATGCTAGAAATAGAACAAATCTATTTTTCTATGGTTGTCTCTTGATTTTATATCAGTTTGCTCTCCAAACCTCCTTTGTTCTACGTTACTGACCTAAATTTTATGGCTAATATGTTTGACTATCATCTTCAGCTAGATTAGTGATTCAGAAATGACTGGAAGCAACTTTAAGAGGGGGTTGTGTTTATGGGTTTATGGTGGAACGGCTCCATGGTGTCATTAGCGGAGAGGCTGCTTCTACCTGTGGATTATACTTCCTGCAGTCACTCTTCTAAACACAATACGTCTCTGTTGACAAACCAATACTGCTATAAAGTCATGGTTGCAGATGTCGAGCGAACAGGAAGTGCACTCTTCCAGCACATAAACAAACATAATAAATTTTAACTTACCAAACATCAAATCTGTGGTTTATCTTAATGCTTTGCATTGAGTTTCCTGCTTTTATCATCATCAGATTATATGCACAGTAACATATGTACGACTATCATCATAGTGACACCCTCTGTGTTTTATTCTCACATGGTATTGATGAAAATCTGTTGTGACCGCCTGTGATCATCTAATCCCTGGCTGTGCAACTCTATTTAAAGAGCATAGCCGCTAATCCTATCAGATTATACTTGACCAACTCAACAGAATCGCCCAATTAATAGTAAGACAAAACTCCAAAAGCTTAGCTTGCTAAAAAAAAAAAAAGAAAAATCACATTGAGAGATGTAAACCAGTTCTGGATGCCAAATATAATGATTATTCACACACAGAGAAGAAGCCAGGATCAGTAGTTGGCACTAGAATAAGGAATTTTGCACTTTGTCATTATTGTTTGCCCATTGTACATATGCAGATGGGACTCTCTGTAAAAGCAGGTTGGTTTTCGGCCACTAACTTTGAATCCGAGATCCACTGGGGAAGCTTGGATTTAGGTACCTGGGCTGCCGGCTCTGCGGGCACCGTTGTCCCAAATAGATCTTTGTGATATCCTCATTCCTGTTAGGATTTGTGAAAGCGGTTTCTGCCAGCAGTGAGCAGCAGGATAAGCCTGTGCCAATTTTATACTTTTTCCTCTTTTTTTTTTTTTTTTAAAGAGCCATTTCTCATCTTTCTTTTATCCGTCATGAAAAAAAAAGGCCAACTCAGAATATGCAGAACCATCAAAATGCATTTTTACAAAAAAACAAAAAAAAACAATTTCAGGATGGAGCGTTAGCTACCTAGTCTGCTGTAACTTTCCACCATCGACCTGCTGTGACAAATCAATGTCTTGCTCATACTCTACAGTTTGAAAACACTGCAGCTAATAATTACAACCAGTTATGCAGTCAACACTTCATCTGATTTCCTTTAGCAGTGCAGTTTTCATGCATAGTATTTATTTTATTACAATCATCTCCCTGTCTTTAAATTCCATTCGATTTGCTTATCTTAGAGTCATACAAATTCATGCAAGTGAGCCAGCACTTGTCTTTCACTTCATGTGTATATTTTTGTCTTTGGAACTGACTCATCCCCATTCTATAAACCCAAGCTCCAGTCTTTGCTTGGCACTCCATGTTGTTTAAAACAGCGTAAAGTCAGAGTGCTGAGGGAACAGCTGCGAGTAATTCCCAATCTTCTGTTGCTGATTTCTGGTCTAATAGACCTGTTGGTTTCTAGCTGCGGCTGATGAGGGTAACTCCCGCTGGAGCTGACCGACTCCTCCAGGGGAAAGCTCCGCAGGCATGGCTGCTTGATGCAACATTTGCCTTCCCTGTTGCCCTCTACCTTCTGCTCTGAATGTACAGCTCAACTTTAAGTGAAGTGCAGAGTCAAGCTGTTGCAACTACTTGATCTAAGTGTAGCGGCTTGTTTTCAGAATGCCGAACGCTCTTGATATCGAAGGACAGGAGTTAATTACTGCTTAACAGATAACCCTACTTCCTTTGAAATAAAAAATAATACATTTTTAAAAGCTGTTCCTAGGGCGTTGCCGTGTCATACCGCTCATTCTCACACTGCTCAGGTTTTTTTGGGCATGATCCAGTTTCCTCCTACAGTGGAAAAAGATGTCAGGTACTAAAGCAATTATAGATGCTAAATTGCTCTCAGGTTTAAGTACTGTTCTTTATTGCTTGCTTGTCTTTCATGTCTCTATGGTGTCCCTTTGATGGAATGATGATCCGCCACTAGTGTACCGATTTGTTGACTACTATAGATTGGTAGTGGCGCCCCTATCATGACAATGAAATTGCTAAAGGAGGTGTTGAAACTTAGTAGATGGATGGAATGACACAAGACATGTGTCTCTTAGCCTTGAACTGACACCATTCATGGGTGGTAAATGCTGTATGTTTAAAAGAATACATAAATGGCATACATTATATGGTTTCTTTAAAAGTCACTGGGACCGTGTTTTTTTTTTTTTTTATCTCTGTTTTGACCCTGTGATGAGCTCACAGGCTGTCCACCATGTCCCCTGTCCTTGCCCTCATGAAGCATATACAAAATCCACATGACCCTGAAAGTAATGAAGTAGCTCGGATGGTTGGATTCATCATGTAAAAGGAAATGCTACCCTGAAATGATACAGTGCTGTTATTCAGCTTTCTACTCTGCTATTAAGGACGTTTAAAGGTCAGCTGATGAAGTAGATTTATTTAAATTTTCATATTATTTATGTGCAAAATTAAAATTAAATTAAATTTCTGTATGAATAAGTTCAATCGGATAGTTATTAGCTCTATAAACCAGACGATAAGTGATGGCAGTTTTTGTTTCATGACCCCCCAGGTTTAATCTGTGTATAAAGAAACTGTCTTGATGTAGAAGGCATAATGAATGATGTATGAAATCTCACAGCAGAACTGTTGTTGTTTTTCTGGTCCCCAACATGTTCCACTATGAAACCCCACATTACTAGCCAGGCAGGTATATTTTTATAGTTATTTTTTCAACTTTTTTTAACCATTAAGTTTGCTTTCAAATTGCCACTTTTTTGTTTTAAGATAATAAAACGGAAAAATTGACCTCTGATGGAAAAAAAAAAAAACAAAACAGAAAAAACCTAATTGGCAATCCAGTTGTCTGCTACCTTCTAGCAAGCTACCAAGGTGCTTCCAGATGTTGATCCATTTAATGTTCTCCTGTAAAAACACGGCTACTAATGCACATCAGGCCGTGTTGTAAAGCTTGACTGTTAGCAGGCCAGTTGAGGAATGCTCCTTGTTTAGTAACAGTATGCTGTAATCTGATTTTCTTAAGCCCGTCTGCAGGAGGTGGGAAAAAAACCTAAAGAAGGAGACCTGCAGAATTTGTTTTCATCAGTTTAAAAATGATCCTTAATATGCATGCAACTGATTTTAACATAAAATATTAAGGTTTTCCTCACGAGTCTCTTTTATTTACACTTTTCATGGTGAATGTGTTTATTGTACCTTAAAAAACTTGTTCCATAACACCTGCTTCCATCTGTGTTAAAGATCTGCATTTGGTCTTTACACATTTGGTCTTTATAGCTTCACTTAAAAAAAGTATAATAGTTGAAGGCATTTCTGTAACAATAAATTGTTTCAGTAGGTCTGTTCTTGTTAATTGTGGGTCTTTCATTAAAATCAACTAGTGGCTAGGATCTGACAAGTTCTAGCTTAATTAGTCCTAAATTGATAGCTTTACATCCACAATTCTCTCCTTTCTGATCAGCATCTTACTTTGGTGATAATCCTCTATGCTGTTATTGAATGAGTAAGACTGAAAATCACCTAATTTAAGTAAACATAAGGTGTACAACATGTTTAAACATGTCTGCAGTTAATTTATGCTGCGAGAGCGAGAGAGAGCAAGACGTTTAGTACATAAACTAAGCAGGCTCCTCTGTTTTTATCCTTTTCAGCTTTCAACACCTCTTCCTGTCATGGAATTCACTGGATTTGGAAAATGTCCAAAGCCTTACATTGTCTAGGGAATACATACGGAGAACACCCGTTCTGGTAAGTTGTGAAAAAACAAAAGAAAAAGCTAATCATGCCTTAATCAATACCTTAATTATTTTTGACTCGATTTTAAAACAATGGTTTTAGCCTGTTTTGCAGTAACTGGTAAGGTAAGGCAATTAGTGTTTGGCCAAAAAAAACAAAAAAACAGTATATTTCTGCTTATACTTTTTTTTATTTAATAACATTAAAAACCTTTAGTTACTACTAATAATCTGGGGGAAAAAACTGTATTGACACCCCAGTCCTCCTGGTAGGTAGCAGTGATCTATTGTCCAAACAACTCAGATGTCAAAGTCCTCCTGCATGAGTCTGTTCTGTGGTGTTTGTCCCACGACCTACATTTTCCTCTATTTCTTGCCTCCATCTGCAACATCTCCCTTTCTTTCTCCCTCCCAGTCAGTTCCTATTATCCCCATCCATTTCCTGCCGACTTTACATCACTATTTACCACTTATCTTCGCCTTACTGCCCTGCCTCTCATTATTTGCGCTGCCTTTTCTATAGTCCTTGACATGCATCTGTTCTCTTCTCCTTCTTATGCTTCCTCGTTTGGCTCCGCATATTGGTCTAAGGTTGTTCTTTTTTCACCGCTTGGGTTAACAAGCTGTCATGATTTCATCAATGTGAATAAGTTGGCCTGATAAAACGTGACCCAGATGGGATCTCCGTATCTTTATACAGCCATCCATCACATCAGAAAGCCACATAAGCTCCTGATCAAGGTTGAAGAAAATGTGTCATGCAGCTCCAGCGCTTCCCTGAAAACTGAGTGCACTAACAATGCTTGTTATTCTTATAAACAGCGGCTGTTTTTTTTAATGTTTCTTACTTTGTTGTTATTGGCTCTAAACTTCTGGACAGATGTGCAGTTTGCACACAGACTTTTGAATATCTTTAGGGACTTATAATGGTCAGTTTCAATTTTGTTTTACCCTTAGCAAACTTTTGTATATCACATTTCCGCTTGTTCGGCTCTTATATTCCCACAATATTTCTTCTGTGGGGACTGAAAATATGCTTCATGACATCAAAATGTCTTTTCTGGCAGACACGCATATCAGATGTTTGAGGTTTATGTCCAAAAAACTGCAGCTCTCTCTTACCAAGATATATGCAGTAAATTTCCCACTGAAACGTTCATACCTCCGTTATCAGCTTATAGGAACAGATAATACGATTTTTGTTGTCAGATTTGACTTTTAAGCATCAGACATCTAGCTTTCACCTTTGACCTTTAGGAGTCATCAGGAAAGACCAGTTTCTAATAGCTGATACTGAGATACAGTTATCACATCTACTCTTTTGCCAAACAGAGAAGTGACACTTTCAATTCTATATTTGTCCTAATGAGGGCTGCATTGTCCCTTACTTTCTGCTTTTGCTTTCATTAAATACTTCAAAATATTCTCATACTGTAAATAACCATGTTTAATTCTCGTAACTTGAAAGAATCATGTTTCTTCAAAAAGAGTTGTGTGATATAAAAAGTTACTATGACGTATTTTTGTTGGTATCGTTATTAAGTTTAAAATAAGTCTCTTGTCAGAAGCACTACTCAACGTATTTTGGTAGGAAATGGGATATTTGCTGTGCAGAGAGATGTTTAATAGCATCTGTGACAGTAGATTATTTTAACACTATTAATTTCCTGTCATTTAGTCATAGTTTGTCATATTGTTGATCATAAAACCCCCATTCAGTCATTACAGACGCCTTTAAGTCCAGTTTCTCTTTATTAAAGGGAAGTATTTCTTTCCACTTTTATGCATGCATGGCCTGGATGGATTGATGAAAGGTTGACACAATGCTAGCGACTGTCCGCTGTTGCTACAGGCTCATCTAAGATGAATAACTTCTGCAAATAAATGGCTTGATCCAGTCTTCTGGGTTTGCTTAAATAGAAATTGTTTTAAACAGTTAAAATTATAAACAGAACTTGAACACATTCTTGGTCATCCAGGATCAAATGGAATATGTAACAGTATACTATATACTAGACTTCAAATAAAGATTATGTATGTATGCAATGAAGAGGCAAAACATTTTACTATAAATTGGAGGTTGGCTACCATAAGAAGTTGTTAAAAACTAACTTTAGTTTTAACTACAGTTGAGTTACTGTATATCTATTTGGGTAGATTGGATTTCTCTCAACTTTGTCTCATTTAGATATAATCACAGATAAGATGAGGTAATTAATGTGAAAAGTAATCAAAATTACACTTTCAAATGTTTAAAACTATTTACTTTTTTTTTTTTTTGAGGATATCCACTAAAACCCTTTGATCTATAACAACACACCCAAAATATTCCAGGTGTCTGCTCTCTTCTTTTTAATAACTCCTAAATAATATCCAAATCTGTCACATTCATTCAGAAAAGTTGAAGGGTAGTAGGATAAGACTCAAACCCTCCTCTCAATGTCCACTTAACGACACAAATTGCATTCAGCGCCCAATTTTCCAAGCCTTCCAGACGGTACAGACTTCACCTATGGATGCATACAGTCAGATGAGGAAAGTTTTTCTGCTTTTTGATTAATCTCTTTCCATAAAATGAGTAAATGAAGGTACTATATCTAAGCCCTCCTCATCAAAGCAATGGCAGAATGACTGGTAATGGTGATATGCAAAGATTTTACTTGGTTTCATCAGTGCGACAAAGTGGGCTTTGCAGCAGTACTGTAATGGAAGATGTGAATATATGGTCCATATATTAAAGTCGTAGGGAAGTCATATTTAAATGGCAAATCATTCTGGCTTAAACACGTATATAAATGTAACGATATTGTCCCAAAAGTTAGAAAATTTCTATAAAAAAAAAAAATCCTGACTTAAAATCTGTTTTTTTCCCCGTTATTTTATGCATGCCAGTTAGTTATACGTCAGCTTGGATGCCTAAAGTCGGCCAATCATACATTAACGTTTATCTGTCAATCAATTTCTGTTGGTCATAGCATCTTGATACATATATCGCAGCAAATATACGTAACGGTTGAAATAAGAAATAAGAATCATTTCCTTTCCCATTGAGTTCCGTCCCAGTGTTCACGGGGATGGACGTCTGTGTCTTCGGCAGGTGTAGAGCTAACAGAACTGGCAGCGTTGAGAGGCAAGGGCTCAAACATGTACGGCTGTAAGCCTTCTACACCAAACCAAGCTTCTGCCGCGCTGGCGTCCTCTTCCACAACATCTTCATCCCCGCTTTCCTCCTCTAAATAAAAAATATATGACGGAAGAGACTCATCCATGACCTCCGACACAAAACTCGCCTCCTCTTGCATGTTTCCGCTGTCCATAGCGTTCCTTGACAGTGTCATTTCTAAGTCACCAATTTAGTGCTAGTTGGTCACAATGGAATTTCCCATTGTGACCAACTAGCACTAAGTTACTTACTGGTTAGCAAGATGCTCCCAACAAACCGGTCACAACCGAACTTGCTTGCGAACCTTCCACCACAACAATCCTGCCCCGCCCCCTTGATAATCAACCAATCACCTTCACTTTATTCACTCGTGCAAAGTCGTGCACCTCTCTGGAGAATTCGGAACTGCAATGGGTGGAACAGCCGCTTTCCTACTACTTTATTAAGGAAAACAAAAAAGGCTGTTAGTCGCACTCATGCAATGCCCATTGGTTTCATCCAATGTTACACTAAGCTGTTAACTGGCAGTTTTGTTGCAATAACATTTTTATCTTTGTGTGTTTTCTCTTACAAATAAATAACCTACAATTTAGGAACATTTTTGACAAGGAGAAGGCTTCTTTTTTCTCCCTGGAACTTATATTTACTCAGAGCAATCACAAAAAAAAGAAGAAAAAAAAACTGCCTGAGTATAGAATTGAGCCATTACATCAGCAGATGCTGAGCAGTAACACCTTCTCTTCAGTTTATTCAGCCAAGGTCTCTCACAGATGCTGACAGCAGGAGCGATGCTTACATCATGGACTTTAAAACTTTGATTTTCTACCCTAAAACTATAACCAATGTTATATTTTCCCTCTAACTACAGCTCCATAGGCTATTAAATTATCACAAACTCCATAAAAACTCCAACAAAAGGATGTTTTTGATGTGACCTCCACTTTCCCTTGCTTTTCAAATCGCTTCAAAGTCAGAAGATGGTTGCAACCATGAGAGATGTTTTCTGAAGGAGGAGACAGGCGGGAGCATCTGTTGATTCATCATCTGTGGAAGATCCATAGGGCTCAGATGATGGTGTGAATCCCTAAAAAAAACTAAAGAATGTTTATGTTCTCTCCCAGAGTCAACTGTAGAACAAGACAAACTCCTGTAAGGCTAATAGTAAGAATTGACTCTAGTAATACTAATCCTGAATTTAAATAATTAAAAATAACCAACTAGACATGCTTTGGACTTTGCATCCTCAGCTTTCTATCAAAATAATCCTGGTAAATAAAAAAATGTTGTACATGTACCTACCGGGGCCTTTTTCTGGGGCAAATTTCTACCCTGAGTAATTTATTTTCTACACCCTAAATGCCGTAGAAATACAGAAGTGTAATAGTGTTACAAGAAAACGATCCTGATCTGAAAAAAAAGCTTCCTGTTTTAGAAATGTGCCTATAGGCGTTTGCATGTGATTAAAGACTGAAACATTGGTTTAAGATACTTTCATGAGAAAATATAAATCTTTTGTTTTTGCTCTTAATTTAAAAATTTTTTATGTAGGGATGTCTATTGAAATCGAGAGAAATTAAAAGTGCATTTTTTTTTTGTTTAGATGTTTTTTTTTTGTTTTGTTTTGAAATGAAAAAGATCTTTGCATCATTTTTTTCCCTTTAAACTAAAGCCATGTCAAACCACAACCCCTTTGAACTGATGTGTTTACCAGGATTAATGTCTACGAGTACCAACAGCTATGTATGTGTTTTGCCTTCTTCTGTATTTCTTTAGAAGAAAAAAAAATCACTATGTGTATGTGTACAGCAAAACTGTGTGTGAACATCACTCAACAACTCTTGGTTCAAGCC